ATCCTCTGCGCTTGGCCCGGCTCGTCTCGCCTCAGCACCTGCGGGTGGCCCGCGGCGCCTCCCGGTGACCCGGGAGTAGGGAGCCCCGTGAAGGTGCCCGCCCCGCCCGGTGCCCCCCGATTTCCCAGACAGGCGCGGTGGCTGCCCAGCCAGCTGCCCGCAGCCTCCCGCCGGCGGTGACAGGAGGATTCGTGATTCCCGGCTCCCCTTCCCCGCTCGTCCTCTGCTCCCGTTAGCTCCTCGGGCAACCCGCCTCCCCTAGCGCCCGTGGTAGCTCGTGGCTTGGTCCGAGTGGACTTTAGCATTGGTCCTGGTGAAAATTAAGGCGACGCTATTTAACCAGTTGTCACTTTGCTTTCAGGACTTAACTTGGGTGAACCTCAATATCCAGAAAAAGGGATTTAAGGGGACTGCATAGAGTTGGTAGAGGAGTAGTTAACATCGTAGGTCCTAAGACCTCATAGCAAGAGGTTGTTATTATTATTATAAAGCTAAATGACGAGCTGCTTTGGAGCTTTTCTTCAGCCATTGAACTGTTGGACTGCCCCATTCCATGTTGCAAAATTTGTATTGTGCATCTTAATATGCCAGTGGCACTTGGTTGGGCCTTGGGGTTCAAAGTTGAATAAGACACTCACTTCGCCTTCAGTCTGGGGGTGTACTGAGGGCAAGTAAGCACTTAACTGGATTGTTGCAACATAGAAGGTAAGTGAGATAAAGTGGCTAAGGGAGCCCGGAAAAGCACTGGGAATCCAGCCCTGGAATGTTGCCCGAAAGGGGCTTTTTCTTCCTTTACACTTGTCAGCCTTCATCCCTGTAAGAATCACTTGACTAGCAGGTTGAGAAACTTGCTTAGTGTTGTGTTGGAAGGAAAGCTTAGCTGGGGGGTATTTCCTTGAGTAGCTTCAGCTGTTACCCCTCGGAGACGCCTCTGTGGACAGCTGGTCCAGGCTCTGCAGGACAGGTGCTGAATGGAAGCAGCTCCTGCTGGATGCCTCCTTGTTTTAAATTGTGGTTTTAACCTTTCATTTTTTCTTTTCAATCTACTTCGTATTCCCTAGTAATAATGGAGTTTTGGGAGCTTGTATTTATGATAAAAGGTAGCCAAGGACTTTACAGCCCTTCTCACTACTATAAAGAAATACAAACTTTTGAGTAGATACAAGTGGGCTTGCTTTGCCAGTGCAGACCCCAAAATAACATTCCCTCTATCTACAGGCTCGGGGTTCACCACTGCTTGGAGAAATAAGTCCAGCACCAGCAAGAATTGTATTAACAGGTGTCAGTCTACTTTTGCAATCTTCCGAGAACCAATTTCTTAAGATTTGTGGAATACAGGCCTACATTGGAGGTATTTTGGCTTTGGTTCCAGACCGAATAAGTAAAGCTCTCTTGCCATACTTGATAAATTGCTGTGGTCTGGTACCAAACCCGCACTACCACTGAGGTATGCCTATACCCAATTTAAGCCAAGTCTTAAAAACAGCTGTATTGTATTATTGACATACAATAAAAAGACACTTTAAATGTACAACTTTATAAGCTTTGACTATGTACACACTTGTGAAGCCATTAGTAAATTCAATTTAATAAACCTATCCATTACCCCCCAAAGCTTCCTTGTGCGTAGCCCTTTGTATCCCCTTCTTTCCACTTCCTTTCCCCCCCAGAGAGCCATTGATCAACTTTCTGTCAATATAGATTAGTTTTATATAAATGGAATCATATGTAGTTATTTTTTTGGGGGGGTGTCTGGCTTCTTTCACTCACTGTAATTAGTTTGAGATACCTCCATGTTATTGTGTTCATTGTTCTATATTGCTGAATAGTATGTAGATACCATAATATGATTATCCATTCACTCATTTGGGGCATTTGGGTTTTTCCTGTTTGGGGCTATTACACACAATCTGTTATAAACATTTTTGTACAAGTCTTTGTATGGGCATACACGCAGAGTTCTTTATAAGTGATTATATTTAATTTAAAAAAATCTAGGAACCTGGGGTGTAGACCCAGCCTTGCCTCTAACCATCTGGGTGTGTTTGGGAGAGTCACTTCACTTTGCCTTTAACATCCATCCCCAAGTCTTTGCCATGCTGGGATTTTGTGCCCATCACTGCCTAAAACTAGATGGTCTTTGTTGATGGTTTGAGGGGCTCAGAAGGAGAGAGAGATGATCTTCTTTCCCTCTGTTTCTCTTTTCATTCATTTTACTTTTTTCTCTTGGGTGACAAATTTGAATCCTGACATATAATTTTGAGCAAGAATGGAAGTGAGTAAATAGTGGGGGACAAGAGCTAATACTCGCTAACTGAAAAATGTTTAAATCACAATTATAGAGAGGAAAAGGTGGGAGGCTAACAGGCTCGGGACTTTTGAGGATGTTCCTTTTTCTCAACCTACTTTCTTCCAAGTCCTCTCTTCTGTTATTTCTCCAGGAACAATTTCTTTAACCTTATGATGAAGTGGTGAGTGAGTGTGCTAGGTCACATATTAACTGGGGGTGGCTGTTGGGGAGGTTTCCTAATAAAAATGAATTCCTCTTTTTTTTTTTTTTCTTCCAGATATGACTGGTATTATTTGTTTCATATTTGCCCTTCACTTAACTTTTACTTGCCCTAAACCTGGTCCCAAACTTTTTATGGGAACATTAATCTATCAACATAATTATGTGTTGTGAAATTTGGACAAATAACAATAGAGTGTTTTATACAGAAAGAAAAATGCGGCTCTTGAGTTTGGTGTTCTGTTTGGCACTTGGGATCCTGCGTACCCAGACATCCAGAGGGAAGCAGGCAGTTGTGGATCCTGAAACAAATATGAATGTGGTAAGTTTCTCAAAGTCACCTGCTTTTAAAATGCATATGACGAATGTTAAGTATTTCCTTAAGTTCAGTTATGTGGGCTCCATGGAGCCTCAAACTCTAATCTCTTTCTGTCTCATAGTGTTTTTTATCTTCTCTGAGTCTTAGATTCAGTTTGCTAGACTTTCCTACCAAGTGATGTGTATTTTATAGATTGCATCCTATTGTTAAAACTGTATACTTCCTACTGAGATACATGATATTTAAGCATCACTAAATTTGTTTAAAGAACAATAAAAAAGTGCCAAAACTTTGCAAGAATGTTACCAAGTACTGTTTTTACAATACATCAAGCAAGGATTGCGATCAGCCATGTCCAGGAGGCACAGTTTAATACAAAAATGAAAATATCTCAAAAAATTTTGTAAGAACAAACAAGCAAAAATAATCCCTTAAGTAATTAAAACATCTCAAAGTTTTTAATCTTAAGTAAGCAATAAAGTCTGGAAATACCTGACTTATGCATAAAGTATTGGGAAAATAGAGATTGCTAAAAAAATAAACAGGATAGGACCTCTTAAAATAAAGATAGTGGTAGTTCACAATATTAGCTGGCACATTTAGAAAAGAAAGAGAGAGTGTTCATTTGTACCTGGGAGCCAGGATGGAAACAAAGAGGCCCAAAGGTATGGTAAAATTAGTCACAATTGTAGAACATGCCAGAATGAAACCAAGGTTTAACCAGACACCTGTGTGTAGAACACATGGATAAAACAAGTGGAGGATTTGTCTTGTGACAGGTGTGCTACTCGATGCAGCAGGCTAAAATTTCAGTCACAACTGATTTCTTAAGCAAAGCCAGGAGAATGCCATTGACATTGCATCTTCTTTGCCTGTAAATACGGGAGATCTTGTCAGATTCTGTCCATAGAATTTTCATTATAATTATTTTTTTTCTCCATAGAGTGAAATTATCTCTTACTGGGGGTTTCCTAGTGAGGAATACCTAGTTGAGACCGAAGATGGATATATTCTTTGCCTCCACCGAATTCCTCACGGGAGGAAGAACTATTCTGATAAAGGTATGGGTGTTTTCTGTGTCCAGATAGGACAGCTTGGAATTTGGCCAGTCTTTGTATCAGTAACCAGGTTAAGGATTTTCTAGAGAGATGACTTGAAATTGTTAAATATCAGAATAAGGATCTGATTTTTAGTCAATCATCTCTCCAGATGTAGCTTAATCTTTAACATTTTCTGTTTCTAGAAACTTTCCTTGGTTGGGGTTAAGGTAACAGGATAACTATCTCTTCCTCAATTAAACTTTTATATGAGCAGAAGGGCCTTCTTTGCCTCAATTCCTTCCTAAATTATCATTCAAAGCAAACTTAAAAACCTTGTGTTAATGTGAGCTTTATTTCATGATCTGTTTTTTTTCTTAATATAATATGATTTATTGATTTCTTCTCTCACAAATTCTAACTATAATAAGGCTTTTAATAATGCTTAAAATGGTTCATGCTCTTTTTGAAATTTAATTTCTAATTCTCGAGATATTTATGATTTACAGATACATGCTATTAAGCTTCTTTTTAATAAGCATGTTATAAAAATGAGTAGTGAGCTGGAGTGAGGGCTGTTTTTTTTCTTCTGCTCAAACTACACAAAACATATATTTTATTCCAGAGTGATAATATGGTCTTGGTTTCCCTTTTTTTTTAAAGTAAATCCTGTATACTGATTTCAGATCCCATATATAAAGAAAAATATGTATTGCTATTATTTCTCTTAAAAGTGGTAGTTGACTAATGTAATTACTAATGTGAGTCACTGTGAAAAGATGCAGGGATCCTCAGTAAAAACAAGCTTAGAGAATGTGCTTCCTCTTCTGTCTTTTCACTACCTCCAGGCTTTTTTGTCCATGCATTTAAGCAGATAGTGCCACATGCCCTACATGTATGTATTACAGCTATTGCAGGGGAAGGTGCTATGTGCTGAATATGAGGAAAGTGAGCATAAGTCTTGATTTGCTCCCAGGTAGTAGGAAGAAGAGTTAGGAGGCCTCATGCCAGGTCTGTGTCAGCCCCTAAGGGCATGTGTGGTTTCATACCTGTGGACCTTGGGTTCTTCATCTGTAAACATAGTCATTTGGCTGGGGTGATCTCAAAGCTCCCCTTCAGTCATTCATCATGGTTATATGGGCTATAATCTATATCCTTTTTGTTTTGTTTTGGCAGGGGTATGGGGCAGTGGATACCCTTGGTCTTCAAAATGGGGAACAGAGGCTGAAAGTACCCTAAATCTGGTCATAACCTCAGGTCCCCATCTTCTTCCTCTGTCCCGCAGAGGCCTCCCCACAGGGGATCAGTGGTGTGTATGTAATACCTGCTGCGAGCTAAGCTCAGAGGGGAGTTTTAAGGAAATCTGTGGCAATTGGTTCAGTTATCTAAAGGAATCTGTGGTTTTCCTGAGCACTGCCCATGCTCCAAGGCAGAGGCTCTTCATTGTCTCACTCATATTCAGGAACAGTGTTGCAAGTGTTCCTTTGGCTCATTTAGGACAAATAGACAAAGAGAATTCATAAGGTCTTTCACACAGAAGTTATCTTCTTCTCGTTCATGCCACTTCCTCTCCTCCTTCCTCCTCTGTGACTAACACCATTGTCCCCCTAATGACCTAGACGAGAAACTGCAGAAGCACCCCTGACTTCCATCTTCCAGTGGCTGCCAAGTCCCCTCCAAGCTGCTCATGTGATGCGGCTTTGGCTCATCTCTTCCTTCACTTTGCCAGGAGACCACCCTACCTTCTTCTTCTTTTTTTTAAAAATTTTTTTTATTGATATTTAGAGAGAAGGTGAAGAGAGAGAGGGAGAGAGAGAGAGAGAGAGAGAGAGAAACATTGATCGACTGCCTCCCGCACACTCTGACCGGGAGTTGTACCGGCCACCTTTTGGTGCAAGGGATGATGCTCCAACCAACTGAGCCACCTGGCCCTACCTGATGTTCTTGTTACAATTTCACTGGATGCCTAAGTAAGTTCAGAACCTAAGTAAGTTCAGAGAGAGGCTTGAACCACTTCTATTTTTAAGGCTTCCCATATATTAAAAGAAGAAAGAATTTCAAAACTGGAATATGAAAATTCAGTCTGCTTATCTTTTAAGAAATTAGTGCTTTTATTTATTATTTATTTTATTTTTTAACCTCACCCAAGGATATTTTTTCCATTGCTTTTTCAGAGATAGTAGAAGGGAGAGAGAGAAAAAAAAACATCGATGTGAGAGAGACACATCGATTGGTTGCCTCCTGCACACGCCCTGACCAGGGCCGGGGATTGAGCCTGGGACCCAGGTATGTGCCTGTGGCTAGAATTGAACCTGGGACCCTTTAGTCAGAGGGCCAATGCTCTAACCACTGAGCAAAACCGGCCAGGGTAAGACATTAATGCTTTTAATACACACAGAAATAACACCATAACACCATAGTATAAGGACTTGTACCATTTATAAGTCTTTGTAAGATACAGTGAAACATTACTCATTTATGGGGGATAAGTGAAACTGTTCCTCTTCCCCTTTTCAAAGTGTTTTTTCTCGTGTTTTTTTTCTTTTTCGTTTTTGGCTGTACTGTGGTGCTGCCATGCCCTGAATTTACAGCTGTATGGTGAGTGTCCTTCAGTTTGTCACAGTGTCCTCTCTGGTTGTGTGTAGAGACTCACTTGGAGATTATTGGAGTCTTTATGATCACAGGGCTTAGCCACATGGCTCCTATACACATGCTAGCTGCTCTCTTTTCTGCCAGCCTCCCTGTTTTCACCCATCTTATGTAGTTTTGCAGGATTAAACTACTTAGAGCCCAGTCATGATTATGTGATATTCCCATTCTGCAGTTTACAGGGACCTGCTAAATGAAGATACATACCTTTCTTTAATATTCTGTCCTGGGTGCTGCTCATACTGTTCACCCACATTCTGTACAGCAGTAGGCCTTTGATGTTCACCATGGGTACGATTCCCCAAATTAGCGAGAACAGTCATAGGCTCTGGTGTGTCGGTGCCTCCATAGAGTGGGGTAGAGTACTTCTTTCATAAGGCTTTCGAGGAGTGCCTAAGAAGTGGGTTACCAGCTGTGTTTACCCATCATCTAAGAAACAGTTATCATTTATCAACTGCATAGGTTTAAATTGGCACCATAGCCATAATAGGAATGATATAATTGAACTTGTGTTTATGTTAATAAGTATCAAAGAACTACTTTCAGACACACAAATCCAAATGAATTCTTTCCTTTTTGTTAAAGTCCCCCTGGAGTTCACCTGGTAAACACAGCCTCTGGAATGCTGCTCACCCTGCCCACTGTTTTCATTTCTGTATATATTTTAAAAAGAATTCTTTTCACCCTTCCAAGCCCAGCTTACCTGCCAGCTCTCCCTGATTACTTAAGCAGGAGGCAGACACACACTTTGCCTGGACTCCCAAATGCCTTGCCAGTCCCCCTGTGGTGGTGCTTTTCTTATTTTGCTTTGCGTTGACTTATTTTTGTACTTCTCTCTCCCCATTGTCCCTCCCTCAGCCACTCTTTGAAGGCAGAAACTGTGTCTTTGTCATCTTTGTTTCCCTCAGAGCAACTAGTAGTACCATGTCCACTGCATGGTCAGCCTGAGTGGCAGTTATCCAGGGCAGTCTTCAGAATTGGGGTACATAACTGGATGAAGGCAATGAGTCTTCTCTCTAGTAAAATAACACACCTGTGTGCACACAAGTTTCGTATGTATTTGTAGCAAGTTTATGGACCCAGTAAAGAATGCCCTGATTTAGACAATCAGTTTGCTGTCTGGTCAAACCTCTACTAACTAGGCAGCTTAGCGAGCTTGTTTAGAATCCTCTTGGTGACTGTGAAGGATGTGCATGCTCTCTCTCAATGTCCGGAATACTTTTCTGTCACGTGTTGAGTTACTGCTGCTTTGCATTAACTCCAGGAGGAAATTGAAATTCAGAAATTCATCATTTATGGGGAAGTGGTCTGTTTTTATCTGCTCAGCCTTATTTCAGAAAGTCATGGGATGTTAGCACTAGAAGGATCTCAGAGTCCTGCCCGGGCTGAGGATTTGGAGAGCTTTCATTCTGAACATACTCTCCTGCAGATTCCAAGGTAGAATCCTTGAGTTTGAGAACCTGTGTTCTAGATCAACACCCTCAATTTACTGGGTGAGACAGCCAAGTTCAAAGAGGAAAAGGGATTTTCTTTAGGTCAAAGGGTAGCGGGTCAGGCAGTCTGAGTCAGTGCTCTTTAAACTAGAGAACCTGGCCTATGTAATAAGTATTGAGCAAGTTAATCCCATGGCAGAATATTTATATGACTTGGCTAAAACAAGGAAATACTTATAGGCCTTGACTAAAGTATAGGAACAGAACAAGGCAGACTTACTCTTTGCCTAAGTGGAAAACAAATTGTCCAATAAGGCAATCATCAAATAAAGCACCAATAGTATCTGATCGCGTTCTGGGATATGAATAGCTGCCTTCAGCATGCACAGACAAGTTTTGTGAACTTTGCCTTGGAGACAACTCCCCAGGGGCTGCCCTTTGAGGGCTGGACATATTCCCCTTTGAACACACCTATGGATGGTGTGTTCAGAAGGGTGGAGGGAGAGTGTCAAAAACGGCTGCATCAGAAGAGTGGAGGGAAGTGTCAAAAATAAATATTTCCAGGCTTCCCTAAATCAGAACCAGGGCCAGAAATGTGTATGTTTTCTCAGTGCCCCAGGTGGTTTTAATATGCAGCTAGTTTGGGGAAATAGTGCTTGGCTTACTTTGAAATACCTGGAATACTTATAAGCACACCTCCCCCACCGCTTTGTTTTCTAATGAATTTTTCTTTGAAGTCGTAGTTAAAAGCAAGGGCTTTAGAATGAGGCTGACTTGGGTTTCCATTCTGGCTCTCTGCTAGGTGAATCTTCTAGGGCAGGTTAATTTCTGGTTCCAGGAATCAGTTCCCTTACCTTTAACATGGGGTGGATCTTAACAGCTCCTTTGTAACAGTATAATTTGTGTGAAATGAAGTATTTGCATGATCAGTGGCTGTTAGTCACCCAGGTGCCAGAATAGGGTTTATCTTTTTTTCTTTTTATTTTAAATACATCTTTATTGATTTCAGAGAGAGGAAGGGAGAGGTAGAGAGAGAGTTGGAACATCAATGATGAGAGAGTCATCATTGATCGGCTGCCTCCTGCATGCTGCCAACTGGGGATCGAGCCCGCAATTCAGGCACGTGCCCTGATCTACTGGATCCTAGGCTGATGCTCAACCACTGAGTCACACCCGGCCAGGCGCTAGGGTTTATCTTAAGTAGTTGGGGCAGGTTCAGGAAGCCTCCCAGGCCCTGAAGTTTTTGGTGATCTAGAGCCAACAGGGATGATTGAACCAGCCCTTGGACTTTGGGTTTGTTCAAGCCGGGGGCCTGAACAAGCTGGGTGTCCAGCTTCCTTGAATTGTCCAGTCTCATGGATGACTATAGAAAGGTCAAAGTGAGGGGTGATTCGGCCTTTGCGTTATTCACTGTGAAGTGGTGGGAATGCTTTTGTACCTTAAGCTAAGTCCTTGATGCCATTTCATCTAGAACCTGCCTTTGCAGAGGAAAGGGGGCCCTTATGCAACTTACAGCCTAGCTTCTAAGAGATCCTGAAAGACTTTTGGTTATGATAGCTCCTTCCAGACTAAGGTGGAGCCAGGCCTCTCTCTTTTCTTTAGGCCCAGGGGCCATACTGCTGCCTCTGAGTCCTGGTTCAAGATCGCGGACTGTGCAGCTGTGCACAGATTGCTTAGTCATGCTGTGCCTCAGAGTCTTTATTTGAGAAATGGGGATAAAAACTAGTCCCCAACTGTATTAGTTCCCTGTTGCTGCTGTAACCAATTACCACAAGCATAGTGCCTTAAAACATCACACATTTATGATCCTGTAGTCCTGGAGGTCAGAAGGCCTAAGAGCAGGGTGTTGGCAGGACTGTGTTCCTTCTGGAGGCTCTAGGGGAGAATTTGTTTTCTTGCCTTTATCAGTATCTAGAAGCTGTCCACATTCCTTGGCTTCCTTCTGGTTCTTCTTTTGGTCCTTCCTTGTACCTCAGCTGATTTCTCACACTGTTTTAGAGCCTGACCAGGCACTGCCTGGTAGAGAAGGCCAGTCACATGGGAGGCAGGAGGAACTTCCCCATCCACGTGGTCATCTTCCTCTCATGAGACTGTGGACCCAGCAGATTAGTTTTTGGAGCCTGAGTAATCCCCTTCTCACTTCCACCCACGTTTGGGCCTAATCAGGCAGGCAGTACTTTTATGGGTCACCACTGGGCTGCTTCCCTTTGCTGGCTCTGTGCTAACTATTTAGGTGACCATGATAACACCACTTGCCTTCTCTGGTCCAAGATGCATTTAGGCCTGCCTCTCAGTCTCCAGCCCTCCTACAGCCATTCTGGGACAAATAAACTAATTGTAGGGCACAGCTGGGGAAGAGCCTTTTTCTTGTCATATTAGTTTGTTACTCAGACACACCAGAGCTTAGGTGCTGGAGTGCATGGACCAGGCTGGTCCTTGGGAGAATTGCCTGAGCGGGTAAGGTTGACTATCATGTCCCTGACTCCCATTCTTTATCCCTTCACCTGCCAGACCAGTCTTCCAAGCGCTTGGTCCAACTCCCTCCAAAATAGCTTCCCCTCTTTGGGCTGTTATTTTCTGAGGGCTTTCTGTGTGGTCTAGAATGATTTCTCTCTGGCTAAGCTTCTTTCCTATAGCAAAGCAGTTACAATGATGGACCCTGGTATCAGACATACTGGGATTCATATCCCCACTCCCCCGCTTACTAGCTCTCGGTCAACAGTGATCAAATTACTTGACTTCTCTTAACCACAACTCCTTGTTTCTAAATGGGAATAGTACAAACTTCACAGGATTTTCACCACAGTGCCTTAGTGCTTATAAGCATGCGATAATAGCTAACTATTATTTCAATTAGCTTTTCTCAGCAAGGTGAGAAGAAATCTGATTAACAGAAAGAAAAGTTTGTCAATTTACTACCCATCTGACTATCCAGTGAATCAGTCTTCTCAGTTTTCTTTGATATTTTACACTCCTCATTTGCATACATCATTGCTGCATGGCTGTGTTGCAGCGTAGTCTATAATTTTGTACTTTACTCTTTTTTCCCCCCTTCAAGGCTATGTTATAAGTTTTTCTATGCCGCCACAGTCCTTGTCATTATTGATAGCTTAATTATTGTACCAGTTAGATTGCAATGAATTATTTGACCACTCAACCATTAGCTTATTTCCAGTGTTTCACTATTATAAAGAATGGGAAGGTCCTGGCTGGGTTGCTCAGTTGGTTAGAGCATCATCCTGATACACCGAGGTTGTGGGTTAGATCCCTGGTCAAGGCACACACAATCAACCAATGAATGATTAAGTGGAAAAACAAATTGATGTTTCTATCTCTCTTTCTCTCTCTAAATCAATAAATTAAAAAAATTTAAAAAAAAAGAAAAAAAAAAAAGAATGGGCAGAAGGCAAAGGGAGTTCTTATTTGTTCATTTTGACCTATTTGTTGGTCACTATACCAGACACTTAACTATCTAATTTATTCCTCTGAACAGCTCTTTATGGAACTGAGACTCAGACAGGTTAAGCAACTTAACAATGTGATCTAATGTTTATTGAACTCTTACTGTGTGTCAGGCACTTTGCTAAGAACTTTTCATATAATATTTCATAACTCATTACTCCCTGTAAGGTACATATTACATTTCTGTGCTGCAAGGGATGATATAAATCTCAGGGGATGTTGAAAACTGTACCCAAGATGGCATATCAGAACTAGGAGATGATGGATTTGAACCCAGGTGTGTCTGACTCTAAAACTCATGGTCGTTATGATGTCAGCTCCATGAGGTGTTTTTTTTCACTTTTTTCTGTTCTCTGCTGTGTCCCCAGCACATAGCTGGGATGCTTGGCACATAGTTGGTGCTCAATAAATGCTTGTTTAAAGAATGACTGAATGTTTTTGACACTATGTAAGCAGCTGGAGGTTAGGTTTCTTTGACTCCCATGTCTTTGTTTTTTCTACTATGTCACTGTTTCAGGTACAGGTGAGTAGAAGATAGTTCTATATAAATATATATGTGTGTATACACATATGCATATATTTGTGTATATATTTATGAATTTGTGCATAATAATTTTTTTTCTTTTGGTTTCTTTTGTTAGGATACATTCTGAGAAATCTATTGGAGCAAAGTATAGAAACATTTCATATGTTCTTAAAAATATATTAAAAATATTTCTGATGATTAAGTTAATGTGTCTTATTACTAGATATGCAAAGATAGACCAGTTTCACTGTTACTTTGCCAATACTGTTTATTTTTTAAAATTTTTATTTTTTAAAAATATTTTTTTTATATCTTTATTGATTTCAGAGAGAGGAAAGGAGAGGGAGAGAGAGAGACAGAAACATCAATGATGAGAGAGTCATTGATCAAGCCCACAACCCAGGCATGTGCCCTGACCGGGAATTGAACCCTGATCGCCTGGATCCTAGGCCGACGCTCAACCTCTGAGCCATGCCCAGCCAGGCGCCCATACTGTTTAAAAAAATATTCTTTACTCATGTTATATAGGAGTACATTGCTCCCTCAAGATTTTAATTTGTTTCTAGTTCATTATTTGCTTTGAGATCTTTTGTGCATTATCTGTATAGCAAGATGCCATGTTTGTTTTGAAGCTAACACCTAAACATAAATATTTTTCAGGTCCCAAACCAGTGGTATTCCTGCAGCACGGCTTGCTGGCAGATTCTAGTAACTGGATCACAAACCTACCCAATAGCAGCCTGGGCTTCATTCTGGCAGATGCTGGTTTTGACGTGTGGATGGGCAACAGCAGGGGAAACACCTGGTCTCGGAGACACAAGACCCTTTCAATTTTCCAGGATGCCTACTGGGCCTTCAGGTATATCTGATTGATAGTAGCCGTAATGCAGACACACAGGGTGGCAGATAGATGGGTAACTCAAGGTCATGTGAGAGAGGAAACTGATGGATCATGAAAGATATTAAACCTTTTTAGAAATTTAATAAATAGCAGTAAGGTAAACTTTAAGTAAATAATTACATTTAGGAATTAAATTCAATTAGGAATTTTTAGTTACTTTGGCATTCCTGGTGGTGTGGGAGCTGCTGGGTAAATTGTGTCCCAGAACCTTCTCCCTTCCTTCAGAAACACACATTCTAAATACTCACTATTCTATGGGCAGAGGTTTTCCTCTTCTCTTTTTTACTCTTGGGTCTACCAGTTAATCACTGTGTGACATTGGGCATGTCACATAAGCCCTCTGTGTCTGAGTTTTCTTTATGTAAAATGGGGATAATACCTGTCTTCTAAAGTTATTGGTGATTAAAGGAGAGGACACGGAAGGAACCTGGTACATCGTAAGTGGTGGCAACAATTGGCTCATCCATCTCTTGATGGCAACACTCACATGTGCATGGACCCAGGGCTCTGTGTTGGTACATCAGGCTATGGATCCTCCAGAATTGCTTCCCATTGGTAAAACCAGAGCTTACCTAAGGACCTGAACTGCAAGAATGAGAGCTTTTACCAATGACATGTACAATGACATGTCACTTTATTTGTAATAGTGAAAAACTGGAAACTACCAAATGCCCATCCACAATAAATGGAGAAATCAAGTGTGGTATATTTACACAATGAACAACCTACAACTGTGTGTGACGGTTTGGATGTAGCCCAATACAGAAGAATACATATTGTGTTCTCATTTATAAAAAAGTTCAAAAATGGGTAAAACTAATTTATGGTATAAAAAATGAGGATAATAGTTACCCTTGGAAGCACGCTTCAAAGGGGGCCTAGGGAACTTCTGCAGTCCTGGCAATTCTGTTTCCTGTGCCTTCTCATGGTTTACCCAGCTGTGTTCAGTTTGTGTTAAGTCATCAAGCTGCACACTTACTGTTTGTGTGCTATTGCATTTGTATGTGATGTCTCAATGAAAGAGTTCCATTTTTGGATTACAGTTATGACGAGATGGCAAATTATGACTTACCAGCTTCAATTAACTTCATTCTGAATAAAACTGGCCAAGAACAATTGTATTATGTGGGTCATTCCCAAGGCACTACAATAGGTATGTATGTAATAAAGATTGGAAATTGATATAATGTGTTATTATAGAGTTTGCATTTGTTCTGAAAAGTGAAAAAAAAAAATGTTAGCTCAAATAAACTTTTATTTATTATTATTTTTAATACCAAGCTGAAATAATGATTAGGGCAAAGGCAAAGAATTTTGGTAATATTTTGTCTTCTCTAGAGGGTGTCACGCCCAACTGCCCTTGCTTTTTCAGAGAAAGTTCCAGACGATCAAATTTCTGTTACTTTCCTTTTGTTCCCACAGGTTTTATAGCATTTTCACGGATCCCAGAGCTGGCCAAAAAGATTAAAATGTTTTTAGCCCTGGGTCCTGTGGCTTCAGCCCAGTTCTCTATTGGCCCGATAACTAAATTGGGACGATTTCCAGATTTTCTCCTTAAGGTACTTAACCCCCCCCCCCC